ATCAAACCTTTAAACAGTTAGGATCGTCTCAAAACTCCCACTTGGTCAAACTTTTAAACAGTTAGGACCAAAGTCAAAATCCCCTCTCGATTCGTGCTATGAACGAGAGGTCCACAAATTGAACGAGCAAACATTTAAACAGTTAGGATCGTCTCAAAACTCCCACTTGGTCAAACCTTTAAACAGTTAGGACCAAAGCCAAAATCCCCTCTCGATTCTTTCCATGAACGAGAGGTCCACAAATTGAACGATCAAACCTTTAAACAATTAGGATCGTCTCAAAACTCCCACTTAGTCAAACCTTACTACAGTTAAGACCACAAAGCCAAAGTCTCTTCTCGATTCATTCCACGAACGAGAGGTCCACTTTCAGTTGAATAATCAAACCTTATGACAGTTAGGATTATTCAAACACGTCCAGATTCTCTAAGTGGAGATCCCACTTTGAGTTTCCTTTACATCAGGAGATAGAATATAAAATTCTTCCTCTCCGATTTCGGGTTTATCTCTACCAACAAACAAGAGATCAGGAGATAGAATATAAAATTCTTCCTCTCCGATTTTCGGGTTCATCTCTACCAACAAAAAAGAGACCAGGAGATAGAATATAAAATTCTTCCTCTCCATCATTGGGTTCATCTCTACCAACAAAAAAGAGACCATGTTACTCCAATAGGTACACGAGTCTAAACTGTTTCTCTACCCTCAACAGGAAGTTTCTGGAGAATATTACTCAGAATATTCTTAAGAATAACCTGATTACCTCCTAACGAGTATATGAGGTTAAACTATTTCCCGAACACTCCAATAAAGTATATGAGTATAAACTATTTCTCCATTCTTCAATAGCAGTTCTAATTCAAGACTTCGATAACGGCCACGCGATAAGCGCAGCACCGGAGGAATTCTAGCTATTTTACAAAGCACTGAATAGGCTAAAAGATGAAGAAGTCAAAAGTTGAAGCCATTTATGGGTCCTTCCGTACGATCTACTCAATCAAGCATTGAAGGGATTGCAGATAAGATCTATCTTATCCAAAGTATCCCAGACTCCTCTATAAAAGAATGAGTCTGGAATACTTTAGAGGGGGTATCTGTAGGCATTAAAAAATGCTGAGAGATATCCGAATACAGATCAAAAAGGCAGAAGAACACAAGTATGGGCTGTCTCGCACGCGAGACAGTCTTTGCTGTCTCGCCATGCGAGACAGCCTTTTCTGTCTCGCACGCGAGACAGTGTTTACTGTCTCGCCCGCGAGACAGCCTTCAAAAGATCAGAAACTGTTTTGTAACCGCCGACACGTGGCCACCAACTGTTCAAGAACGTGGGAAACATCGTGGGTGAGAATCACGTTGATAACTGCCAAAATAACGGAGTTGTAAAACGTGGGAAGGCAGTTACAAGAAAACTGCTGGGTGGTTGAGGATTTCCGAGACAGCATTTACTGTCTCGGAACCCGAGACAATGTTTATTGTCTCGGAACCCGAGACAGTCTTTGTTGTCTCGACCGCCGAGACAGCAAACACTATCTCGGAAGTGGTTATTCGTCCAGGGGTTATAAATACCCCCCTATGATCATTTGTTTAGGGGGCGGATCATTTTTGAGCACTTTAGAGCAGAGAGAGCAGAGTTCCTGAGCTTCTGGCAATCCCTTGAGATTCGAGCTTTGACTTGATCTCAAGAAGAACGACTATCTTACTTTGATAAGATCTCGTTTTAAATTCTCACTTCGATAAACGAAGGAAGAATCATTAAACCCCTCACGATTCAATCAGAATCTGTGATTTGGTGGTCCACGAGTCAAAGCGCTCCCGGCACAGGCAAAGATCCCACGCAAGCAGGGATCCAAACAACGATCATGCGTTTGTTTCTAAAAAGTTATAATTTTTATTTTGTTGTGTAAAATAAGTCTTATAAAAAGGCTACCTCTTTTGAATTTATTGTAATCGACCGAAGATATAATGAATTCCACAGCGAAACCAACTTTTGACGAAAACAATTAGGTGGAGATACGATTCCTTCACTGACTGCTACATTCTTCAGGGTCATGCAGGTCTCTACTGGTATTACTTCTGCTATTACTACACTGTCTCCACCTACAATGGATCAGTCTGCCATGTTCCCTAGTCGAGGCAGAGGCCGTAGTCGTGGACGTGGCCGTGATTCATGAGGAAGACGTAGCTCCTTTGGTGGGAGACAAGGTGAATCTGATAAGAGCTCACGACAGTGTGGTCACTGTGGGAGAACCAATCATATTTCTGAGAAGTGCTGGGAGAAGTTTGGTCGTCCTCAGTGGGCCCAGGTAGCTGATACCGAGTCGACTCACTCATCTATTTCTGTTACTACTTCTGGTGGTCCAGCTGTTACTGCTCCTACTGTTCAGATTTCTCAGGCAGATTATGAGAGGTTACGCCAGCTAGAACTCTCTCAGAACATTCATTCTGCTACTCATGCATCCTCCTCAGGTATGGATGTTTTCATAGCTTCTTCTCACAAACCCTGGGTACTAGATTCTGGAGCCTCATCTTATATGACAGGTATAAAGGATCACTTTGTATCTTTACATCTTTCTGATAAGCTTCCCTCTATCCGCATTACTGATAGTACTCTTTCTCTAGTTCGTGGTAATGGAGTAGTTCATGCTACTTCCTCTTTAAAACTAACTGATGTGTTATATGTTCCCAAATTCCCTGTTAGCCTATTATCCATTAGCAAGTTTACAAAACAAAATAACTGTAAAGTCACCTTCTTTCCATCTTATTGTGTTTTTCAGGACCTAGCAACTGGGATGACGATTGGTTCAGGTCATGAGAGAGGAGGTATGTACTATTTGGACGACAGTGTGCCAAAGGCTAGTCTTGTTGCATCACAGTCTGACTCTACTTTATTGTGGCACTGGCGTCTGGGTCATCCTTCACTACAAATTCTTAGATCGGTAGTTTCTGTTCAACCATCTATTTCCTCTTTAGGTTGTGAGTCGTGTGAACTAGGTAAGCACCATCGTACTACTTTTCAGAGTCGAGTCGATAAACGCAGTAGCTTTGCTTTTGAGTTGGTTTATTCTGATGTCTGGGGTCCTTATCGTGTTCCTTCTGTGCAAGGTTATCGATATTTCATTATATTTGTTGATGATTTCTCTCGCATGATGTGGCTTTATTTGTTAAAAGAGAGATCAGAGGTCTCGCGTGTTATTGAACACTTTTATAATGAAATAAAAACTCAGTTCTCTACTTCTGTTCGTATTCGTCGTACTGATAATGCTTTGGAATATATGAAAAGTGATGTTTCAAAATTTTGTGCTCTTAATGGCATTATTCGTCAAACTTCTTGCTCTCACACTTCACAACAAAATGGAGTTGCTGAGAGGAAGCATAGACATATTCTAGATGTTGCTAGAACATTGATGATACATATGAATGTTCCAAAGTATTTGTGGTCTGATGTTGTTCTCACTGCCATTTTTTGATTAATCGCATGCCTTCCTCTGTCCTTGATGGTTTAATACCATTCAATTGTCTTTATCCTGATAAAAAACATTTTTTTGTAATTCCCCGTGCCTTTGGTTCTACGTGTTTTGTTCAGGATTTAACAGCTGGTTTGGATAAGTTGTCTTCTAGATCCATCAAATGTGTTTTTGTCGGATATTCTCGTACTAAAAAAGGGTATAGGTGTTATCATCCGTCCACCAAAAAATATTTTGTCTGCTGATGTTACCTTTTTTGAGTCTGTCCCATATTTTTCGTCTGGTTCCACTACTGCTGACTGTCCACCGGTACCACTACCTTCTTCTGCTCCTACTACTATTCCATTACCTGCTCTTGTCGCTCCTGCACCGAAGCCTCTACTGACATACTCTCGCCGCCCAAAGGTACACGGTCTATCTCATATTGAGACCTCTATTTCTTCTGACTTGGATATCCCTATTGCTCTTCGAAAAGGTAAACGGTCTTGCCCGAAATATCCTATCTCTCTTTTTGTCTCTTATGACCGTCTCACCCCATCTTTTCGTCTGTTTGCTTTGTCCTTGTCCACTATATCTATACCCAGGTCACATGAGGAAGCTATGATAGTACCAGCTTGGAAGCAGGCTATGGATGAGGAAATGAATGCACTGCTTTCTAGAGGGACTTGGGACTTGGTCTCTCTTCCTACTGGTGCGACTGTGATTGGTTACAAATGGGTGTATACCTTGAAATATCGCCCCGATGGGTCTGTTGACCGTTATAAAGCTCGCCTGGTTGCTAAAGGTTATACCCAGACATATGGTGTCGACTATTTTGAAACATTTTATCCCGTTGCTCATCTCAACTCCATCAGAATTCTTTTCTCTCTGGCTGTTAATATGGATTGGGCGATGCACCAACTAGATGTGAAGAATGTTTTCCTTTATGGTGATTTGGACGATGAAGTTTATATGGAGCAAACTCCTGGGTTTGTTGCTCAGGGGGAGAATATTATCTGCAGGCTGAGAAAGGCCATATATGGATTAAAGCAAAGTCCTCGAGCTTAGTTTGATAAGTTCAGCAAGGTTATTTCTAGTGTTGGTTTCCAACGCTGTCAGTCTGATCACTCTGTCTTTCTTCGACGCACAACAACTGGTTTGGTTATTTTAGCCGTATATGTTGATGATATTTTGCTGACGGGAAGTGACTCTGTTGCTTTAGCTGAGACTAAGGAATATCTAAACCGTTATTTTGTCACTAAGGACATGGGAAAGCCAAAGTATTTTCTTAGGATTGAAGTTGCATATCAAAAGCATGGCCTATTGTTGTCCCAAAGGAAGTATGTGCTAGATTTACTAGAAGAAGCAGGTCTCTTGGAATGCAAACATGCAAGCACTCCAATGGAGGCAAATATTGATTTGTGGCGTGATGATACCTCTCTACTAGATGATGCTGGACGATACAGAAGACTAATTGGGAAGCTAATATATTTGATAGTTACCAGACCTGATATTACCTTTGCAGTAGGTGTACTTAGCAGGTTTATGCACAAACATAGAGAGGTTCATTGGATAACAGCTCTGAAGATTTTGGCATATGTCAAGAGTTGTCCCGGCAAGGGATTGCTATATAAGAAGCATGATCATACTCACATTTCGGCTTTCTCTGATGCTGGCTACGCAGGAGACATGGGAGATCGAAAGTCTATCTCAGGATTCTGTACTTATGTTGGAGGTAATCTTGTGACTTGGAGAAGCAAGAAACAAGATGTAGTATCACGATCTAGTGCAGAGGCCGAATATAGAGCCATGGCACACACCGCTTGTGAGATGATTTGGCTACGAAAGTTTATGACAGAGTTTGGTTTTGTTCAGCCTGGACCCATGCCAATGCATTGTGATAACCAGTCTGCCATTTATATTGCACAGAATCATGTGTTTCATGAGAGGACAAAACATATTGAAGTTGACTGCAATTTTGTCAGAGATGCTTGGGAGAAGAAAATAGTATCTCTCATATTCACTCCGTCCTCACAACAACTTGCTGATATTCTTACCAAGGCTACATCTTCAAAGGTGTTCTCTACTATATGTGACAAACTGGGCATGATAGATATATATGCTCCAGCTTGAGGGGGGAGTGTTAAATTAAGTATTGGGTATTGGGTTAATAGGCCGTTACCCATTAACCTTAACCCTATTTGTATGGCTATATATATCTCTATTATTATCTCAATAAACAATAATTAGGGTTTTCTCTATTCTCTGCAATAAGTAATTAGAATTCGACCATGGAGCAAGAACCAAGAGAAGACTCATTCAAAATATTTATATAGTTATAACCTACAAATCATTTCCTAAAGAAGAAAACAACCATACGCAATTCTGCCTTTCCTTGTCTGCACCTTAATTCGGATATAGGGCATATTGGAGGCTGCTTAAAAATATAAAATCAACATATATTTCTAATTTCCAACTACTAACATGAAAAATATGATATCTACCTTAGCACTAATGAGACCCTTTTCAACGCAAGAAAGCACATCTCAAGTGACTACTCATAGTAACTGACCATGGAAACCTCCTCAGCAAGACGTTGAAGGATTTTAGGAAACGGAGGCATCTTCAGATCTAAAACCCCTTCCAAGATTTTGACAACTTCAGCCATCGATGGCCTATCAGCCTCAAACTCTTGAATGCACCAGCACGCAACTCTACATACTCTATTCAGCTCCAACGCATCAGCAGAACCATTCAAAACCTCATCTAGCAGGCTAAGAACTTCCCCTGTGATGACTTTCCTGGCAGCCTGAACGGGAAAATACCTGATGCTTCCTTCTTCAGCCAATTTTGAATTTCTTCTACCAGATACTATCTCAAATAGCATCATACCATAGCTATAGACATCAGCTTTAGGTGTTATTGGTAGCCCTTCGATCCATTCTGGTGCTAGATAGCCTATGGTTCCCCTCATTGTTGTTAGTACTCGGCTAAAATCATGGCCAAGGAGCTTTGCCATGCCAAAATCAGATAACCTCGGACAAAACTCAGATTCTAAGAGTATGTTCTCTGGCTTTATATCACAGTGGATAATGCATTCTCTACACTCTTCATGGAGATACGCTAATCCCCTCGCAGTTCCTAGTATGATCTGGTATCTTGTCTTCCAATCTAAAGTCGTGGATTGTTTTCGAAAGAGGTGGTTGTCTAGAGACCCCTTTGGCATGTAATCATACACCAGCATCCTTTCGGTTCCTTCACAGCAGAAGCCACGAAGACGGACTAGATTAACATGCTGAATTCTTCCCAACGTTCCCAACTCATTTCGGAACTCCTTCTCTCCTTGTCGAACCCCTTCAAGTCTTTTCACAGCTACAAAATCTGAATCAGATAGAAGTCCTTTGAAGACCAAACCAAAACCTCCACCGCCAAGCTTTTCAGTGAAATTCTTCGTTATGCGCTGCAAGTCACTGTAACTATATGAAACCAAAGGACCCTCGGGGGATTTTGATGCTCCATGCCTTTTTCTGACGAATATCAAGGTCAACGCAATAATAGCTGACAATACTATTGCTATTGCTGCACTTACAGCAATCCTTCTGATTGATTTCATTTCACCGGTTTTCTTTGGCAGGTCAGAAGCTGCAAGCCTCAGGTAAAGAGTATCGGCCCTATTGTCACCTTCAGAAAGACTTTGAAGATTTCGAATGTCTCCCCTCCAAATTGAACACTCACTCTCATAAGCGTAAGCAGTACATGAGCAATTCTTCAAACAAACCAATTCACATTCTTCAGCACCTTTTCCTCCCAGCTGCTGTTTTGAGTCTGCAGGTAAATGCACATTGGGTATTGGCAGAAACCCATCTTTTTCTCCGGAAGTCGAGTTCTTGTAACCGCACTTCAACTGGGTGTTCCTCTTGCACCCTGAACTCCAGCCATCAAGCTCCCAATCTCTAACAGAAGTTGGTGTGAAACCAAGTGGACAGGTGCAAGGGGGTTTCCTCGATTGATCACAAATACCGTAGGCTCCACAAACAGAATACACGTCACAAGGAGAGACTGGCTGCACCGAGATCAGCTCCCAACCTTTAGCATCATCAAACCACATCCACTGCTGAATTTGACCAGAAGAGTGCATCACGCTGCGTGCCAAATTTCGCTCATCAGTGAGATTTGAAGTGAAATACCTGCGCTTATCATCATCGACAAACTTATAAGTGTAACTATGGTCCGCCCTCATTCCAGGGATTGAGCTGAAGGTTTCTCCATTCCAGATGCCAGTATTCCAATAACTCCTGGAATTGTTCCACAAGAAAATAAACTGGTTGAGGCCAGTGGGGTCTATAGTATCCATAAAAGGCCCTGGAGCTGGGTCCTCAGTGTTTTTCCATGGAGTAATAACATTGTACTCGCCGGTGATTTTATTCATTCCGATCCATCCATGAGGTACCCTGGTGTCAGTTATGTGGTCGAAGCTTTGCCAGAGTATAGCAGATGAGTTTGTTTGATCTCTCAGAACGAAATTCCCGGTATCAAGAAGTATTGCGACGTTAATGTTGGTGGATGATGATAAATATGAACTTGAGTTGGATGACCAAACTGGGAGTTTGGAGTTGTATAGGATCAGATTGCCATCTTTGGTTACCTTCAGCTTGGAAGTTGCCGGGTCAGGTACTGGAGCTGCCCTATTTGCTGTCCAGATGGTTTTGGTTACCTTCAGCTTGGAAGTTGCCGGGTCAGGTACTGGAGCTGCCCTATTTGCTGTCCAGATGGTTACTTCAGGCGATCTTCTGTACCAGATGCCAATGTAGTAGTTGTTGGATTTGCCTGGGGTGAAGAAGCCAAGTTCGAAGACGCCTCCTTTGGAGACTATGGTTTGGTTTCCAGAGATGGATTGGCCTTGGGAGATTGTATCAGTTGCAGAGGAGAGCATTATTATTGCATTCAGTGAGATTAGAAGAAAATGGAGAATTAGTGAGAAAGAGGGGGATTTGGTGAACATTTTAGGAGAAGAATGCCACAGTGATACCCTGAAGGTAGCTAGGTTTGCATGCAACGAGATACATATAATGCATGTAAAAAAAAGTTTGACTTGAAATCAGAGTCTCTGGTTGGTGTACGTTGACAGTTTATCAGAGACCTCAGATTTTCCTCCTCCTCTGCTCTCAGGCTTGTGGATATCAAAATAGTTGGAAAATTCATGATTGCAGTATGCACATCTTGAAGTCATCTCCATAAGGGAACTTTACGCTGGCAGTGATAATGTTTGACTTAGTAATACAAGGAGCCAGAACTTCATTTTCTTTACCTAGCATTAGAGTTGTGCACCGGTTGAGAGCTTTGCCAGCTAAAAGTCGATATGACTGGTTGAAAAGATCTTTGCCGTCAAGAGCGAGAGGAGTGGGTTACAAGTCGTAGCAAGTCTTTGTATAGCATCATCAAAATGACATAAATTGACTCCTGCCGTAATGCCTGCGGCATTGGAGATTTTTTTTACCACATACTAAATATGAGGTCTTAAAACTCAAGAATCTTTCCTTTCTTTGCTAAATTTCTCAGAAATCATACTTCTGTTGGAAACGGCGAAAAATTGTTGAAAAAGACGTGGAACAGGAAAAACTCTGGTCGGTCGACTGATGCATTAGGAAAAACTCTGGTCGGTCGACTGATATAATGCATCAGTCGACCGATAACGTGCACACTGCACGAACTGAAAAACGTCGCACTGGATAGTCGACCGATGAAGGCTTATCGGTCGACCGATGAAGGCTTATCGGTCGACCGATGAAGACCTACCGGTCGACTGATATCTTCCTATCAGCCGATCGATAGCGGGCTGAACGGGTAAACCGTTTCCCAGTCTATTTTGGTTTAGGGTATTATATATTTAGAAGTGCGTACGAGTTTTTATAGAGAGTGGTTATCAGAGAAAAGAGAGTTGTTTGAGCACTTTGAGAGGGAGATTCTTTGAGGGTGAGCGAGATATGGTTGGTTAGGGTTATTGTGATTGTTTGAGAGTTGTAACCCATTGTATTTCTCCTCCATATAGTGAAATCTCCCCATCCTCTCCCCGTGAACGTAGGCAACTTGCCGAACCACGTATACCTCTGTGTTTGTGATTGATTTGGTTGTTCTATTGTGGATTGTGCTCGTTGTGTTCTTCGTTCGTTGCTTACCGACTTGTTGTGAATTGAGTCCGCTTCCGCTGGACGCAACAACTTCGACATTTTCTTTTGTAGGTAAAATATAGTGACTGATTTGTTCATGCTGATACCCAATATATTCAAGTTTTTTACGCTCCCGATTTCAAATGGTATTGGCCGTGACAGTGAATTGGATGCCAAACTTAAAAGATACGGAAAGTCCGAATATGTAGAATATTTCTTTGGGTATATTACCCGTAAGTTTGTTAGATCCAAGATTTAGATATATTAGGTTCTGGCACTTCCCAAGACTTACTGGTATATTTCCGCTTAGGGCTCGTTTGTTTGCACGAAAGTAATTATGAAGTAGCTGAAGTAAAAGAAGTAAATGCTACTTCTGTTATTTCCAAGCAAAAAAAACATGTTTGGTTCTTTAAAAAACTTACTTCCATTACTTTCTTAAATGCTTATGTGGCGCTTACGTGTCATCCTTACTTCCAAAATAGTTTTCCAATCCTTAATACTCAGAAGTAGCTCGGAAGTAGTTGAAATACATATTAATTAGGAAATAAATAACTTTGTTTATTAATATTTCCTTTATCGGTTACTTCTAACAGATTTTCATTGATAAAATTACTTCCTAGTAATATTTCCAAATGTTATCCAAACAAAAAAAGTAAATGAAGAAGAATAAGTTCTACTTCCATTACTTCTAAAAAATATACGAAACAAACAAAAAAAGTGCTATTTCCACTACTTCCTACTTTATAGTTTTGAAAGTTACTTCTATAACATATTTCTTATTTCTAATACTTCCATTATCCAAACGGGGCCTTAGTTCATTGGAATCTAGATAAAGTTTATTCAATTGAGTAAGGTTGCTGATGCTAGATGGTATCTCTCCAGATAGCCTGTTATTGCCCAAAGCCAATAGATTCAACTTCCGAAGCATCCCAATGCTTGAAGGATTAGAGCCATAAAGCTAGTTTCCATCCATATTAAGTACCATAAGGTTTACGAGGTTTCCGATGTCAGAAGATATTTTTCCAGAGATGTAGTTATTATCCATATCAAGATGCTGAAGATTGGTGGAAAGGTTGGCGACGGAATTCAGTAGCATGCCACTAAAATACTTCAAGCAGAGGAATAGCTTGGCCTATGTTAGGTGGAAGTGAGCCAGATAGGTGATAGTTAAATGACATAGATAGCTGGGAAAGAGGAGAGAGATTCCACAGTGAAGATGGTATAGAATCGGCGAGAAATTTGGATCAGAACAGGTTTGAAGGCACATGAGTCGTTTTGGGTGCTGCGCGGTCGACCGCGGCGCAAGGCCGGTCGACCGTGATCGTGCATGGACCCAGGATGTGATCCTGGACATGGCGCGGTCGACCACCACGGTCGACCGCGAGACCCTGTAGGCGATTTGTGGCTCTGTCGTTTGATCGCGGTCGACCGCGGGCTTTTGGCGGTCGACCGCCAAGCGGGTCAGGCCCAGTTTGAGGTTCCTGTTCAGTTTGGGTTTGGTGTTTGCTATAAATACCAACATACGAATTAGGGTTTCTTTGGCTTTGATTGGAGATTGGTTGGGGATATTTGGAGCACAGAAAAAGGAGAGTTTTTCTGAGCAATTGTTTGAGGGTTTTGTTTGGAGAGATTAAGAGCTTGTTGGTAAGATTAGTTTGTTCCTTCAAGTGATTTGTAATCTCAGTTTGTACTCTTTCTTTCCCCGTGGACGTAGGCAATTTGTTAAACCACATAAAACTATTGTGTTTGGATTTGTGCCATTGTTTTGATTTTTTGGCCTTTATCTCGACGTTTGTTTGATTTGGTTCTCGAAGCACGCCTGTTTGGTTGTCCCGCTTCCGCGCCGCGCACAACAATTGGTATCAGAGCTCCAGATTACAGATCTAGGGTTTTGTCTTGGTTGGAGGAGTAGATCGATTTGGGAAGCTCGTCTAGGGTTTCAGTTGGTGAGAAATGTGGGATCTTTTTGGTAAAGCTTCTTTTTTTTTTCTTAGTTTTGGATCTATTCTTCGTTTGTTTCCGCATTGGTTTGTTGGCGCTTGGGCTATTTGGAGGAGTAGATCGCTTTGGAGGCTCTTCGAGGGCTTCGTTTGGAGATAAAAGGTGAGATTTTTCCTATTTGTGGATCTCGTTGCCGTCGTGCGGGGTGAGATCGCTTTGGAGACTCTTGTTAGGGTTTCAATTGGAGGTAAAATTCTCTCCTTTATCAGTTTGGATCTATTTTTCATTTGTTGGTGCTTTGAGATAATTGGCCGAGATAGAAGGATTTGAGGTTGGGTTATTTGTTTGTTGATACGGTGCATTGGATTATTGAGAAGTGCCCTTGACCTGCATATTGAAGTCCTTTGAGCACGTTGGTATGAGCAAGGAGACCGAGGTGGAGTTTGTCACTTCTATTTGATGATTGAGGGGTCTTCTATTTGGTGTTCATTTAGGTATTCGGGGGCCTTCCAAGGAGGCATCATTAGAAGGTAATTGGTATTTTGGTTTTCTTTGTTGGGGATTGTACTAGGCATTTGTGGGTTGCAACCAAGACCCGTTGGTTTTGAAGTCCTAGTAGCCAACAACAGTTGAAGAAGTATATTGGCAGTAAGGTGAAGGTGCTTCATTCTGGTTGTAGAGAGGTACAAGAGGGACCTACTGTATTTGTGCTGAGCTCATGGCAATTTGAGACACTTCATTGGAGAGGAAACTTTGAGGCGATGTGATGAGATGACAGATTTGGGGAGCTGTTCCTTTCTGGAGGAGGATAGGCATTTGATGTCTAGCATTGACATTGGTGTGCGGGCTACGACATGTTTGGACCGTCTCATGTATAGGTTGTCGACTGCTGTATGTAGAGATATGGGATCTGGTGGAGCTGCTTCAGATTTTGGGTTGCGTCAGATGTTTGGCTACCCAGCATTTGGTCACATCAAGGATGTGAGATTTAATCTGATTGCACGTTTGGGATTCGGAGGCTCATTTGATTATCGTTTGGGAGCTTCTGATTTCGTTCTGAGCAGGTATGTCTGTAGGCTGTCTAAAAATCACTACAGATAGCTTATTCCCATCAAACACCGATGATGGAAGTTACAATCTGACGACTTCCAAAAGGCTACAATTTGAAGACTTTCACGTAGAAGGTTACAATCTGACGACCTTCACAACAACTAATGAAAGCTCTAATTCAACAGCCTTCACAATTAACATCGGGAGTTATAATCTGATGACTCTCATATTTGCAAGGAGCCAAGACGAAGGTTACAAGGTGACGATCTTTGCAACGCTCTAGCGAAAGAGACTACAAATTGACGGTCTCTTCATATTAAAACGCAGATATCTCTTAAACCGTAAGGAATTTGGCAAAACTGACAGAGCAAACCGAACCCTATGGGGTCGGTTTGGTCGGCTCCGTCTCGTTGAGATAGCCGATTTTCATATATAATTCGTCCCATTCCGACTTACGGTTTGAAAGTTATGACCTGTTCTTCGCAGCAAGTTATGTTCTAAAGTCCGTCTGTGAGACTGCACTTCGCCTGAACATTGGACTTAGCATGAAGTTCGCCGAGCCCACCTAAGGCTCACCTCTGCATCCAAGATTCAAAACGCAGAGGTCATGCCCGCGTTCTAAACTCAAAACGCAGAGGTCGTGATCTCATTTGAGATTCAAAACGCAGAGGTCGTGGCTGCGTTCCAGATTCAAAACGCAGAGGTCGTGGCTGCGTTGAGATTCAAAACGCAGAGGTCGTGGCTGCGTTCCAGATTCAAAACGCAGAGGTCGTGGCTGCGTTCCAGATTCAAAACACAGAAGTCGTGGCTGCGTTCCAAACTCAAAACGCAGAGGTCGTGGCTGCGTTCCAAACTCGAAACGCAGAGGCCGTGGCTACATTCCAGAGTCCATGCAGAACCCACCTCTGCGTTTCCCAAACACAAAACGCACACGGACTGTGCGTTCTCCAGCAGACATTCAACTCTGCAACGCAGAGTTAAAACACGAAACGCACACAGACTGTGCGTTCTTCAAATACTCAATCCTGCGTCTCAAACTCAAGACACAGAGTTTGGATTCAACACACAAGCGGCCTGTGCGTCCCTAATTTCCAGAACGCATGCGGCCTCTACGTTTCAAATCTCTAGCAGAGATTTAACTCTGCGCCTCAAGCCTTAGGCGCAGAGTTAAGGTCCAGAACGCCAAGTTAGGCATTTGACTTGTTCAAACACAAGTTGAACGGCTTGACAACCGTTTATCCCACGATTTGAGGGATTTCCGCCCCCACTTAGGAGCAGATTAAGGGGGTAGTTACCACCCTTAATCCCCTATAAATACCAGAAACTCAATTGAGTTAAGGGATCGGCTTT